TTTTTGAGAACAGTAACATGCCTGAGAGGGTGTCTGGAGGGAGGGTAGGCACATGTGCGGAAAAAGGATTTGCTGTCCCATGAAATGTTAAATTAGTTGATCTGACTCTTAATATGATTTTCTTTTCCCTATGGGAAGGAGGTGACCCTAGGTCTAGTTATAAAAACCTGACTAGCAGTTAGCAAAAAGTTCCGCCAGTCTGGCAGATTCTGACCATTAAAAATCAGTGAGAGCAGAAGAAATGAACAAATAGTGAAAAGGTAAGCTGTGTGTGTGTGTGATGTTTTAAAGAAAACTGCTGCTAGAAAAAAATTGGAAAGTGACGCTAAGAGAGTATCATATGTAACTAGGTGGAGGAAGCTGACACATGCAAAATTATTAGCTGTAGATTCCAAATGCATCTACAACAAGGAGCTGGAGGACCGCTGGGAAGCCCTGAGTAGGGATGGCAGGGAGGAGGGACTAGCAAGTTTTCAAGCCAAACGTGTTTAAGAAATAAATGACTCGGTGAATTTCCAAGGCAATTGCCCCATCACCGTGGGTGCTAAATAAATCACAATGATGGCAACAGAGTGGCAGTGTAATGGAATGGAAATAAAATAGCTGGGACACTGACTGGGCTAGTCACTTAATATCTTTTGAGCCTTGATATCTTTATTTGTAAAACAGAGTCAATAATAATTCTTGTCTTCTCTATCTCAAAGTGTAGCCGAGAAAGATACCAGTGAAAGCCCCTTTTTAAAGTTAACGTGTGCTGAGAGGAGTGGCTGGAACACACAGGAAAGGGTTTTCTGCAGTACTGGCCACATCTGCCTCTTGGTCTGATGCTGTTTACATGCATCTGTTCACTTTGTGAAAAGTGGGTGAAATTTGTGCATTTTTCTGTATGCATATTATACTTTCTTAAAATGCTTATTTAAAAATCAGAGTAGGTCAAAAGAGTTTTTAAAGTTAGAATGATGATGAGAAGGACAAGGAAAATTATAAACGTGGGTCTGAGCTCAAAGCTACGTTCATTTCTCTTCCTACCCATCTTAGCACACCTGTGGACTCAGGACTCAAAATGGAACCACTGCTAGCAATTGGTTGCTTTCTCTCTGTGTGTTCTGCTTGTTACTGAATAGTATTTTCCTGGTAAAGAAGCAGGAGGAATGAACCAGGAAGTTCCTTGCATGCCAGAAGGGTCAACAATAAAAAGCAAAGATCCCAAGCTGTTCACATCAAGGGGAAGATGTGATTAGAGAGATGTAACATGCAAAGAAATTATCTGAAAAGTGAATTCAGTTGGGAGAGTATAAGCCCCAAAGAGCCCTGAGCAGCTGGTCATGATCAGATTCTCCATCTTTCTGTCAAATGTAATCGTATCCGAGTTGGCAGGGTATTTATTGCTAAAGTCGAAGGGCCAGATTTTACACTAAACATATTTACACATTTACATTTGTGGCCCTATAAACACTCCACGTTTCACTGGCCATGACATCAAACACATTTACCAACAAAAAGCATATGCCTAATTACAAAATCATAGGGGAGTGGGGAGGCAAGCGGCAGCTGATGGGCAATGAGTGTGCATGCCTGTGTGCACATATGAGTAACCAGCTGCAACACCAGGAAACCGGGAGAGACGAGAATGGATGCTGACAATGCCGGACCCTCTTCACTTGGCCTCTGCTCCCCAGGCCTGTCCTCGTCTGGTGCAGTTCTAAAGCAGGAAAGGGACCTCCGGCATTTCAATTAGACCCAAAGCGACCCCCTGGAGGAGCCCACAGACACCGGGGTGGTTCCCAGGCACAGTTCTGATTTGGATTGAGTTTGATGCTGTTATGACCCTTAAGGGGCCCCCAAATGACTTTTCTCAGTCAGTAATAAAAACAGGTGTGAGCAAAATGTGTCGCCAAGCAGAGAATTTTAAAACTAAAATTAGAAGCCTGAATTCCTGGCTTTGGGTAGTAAGACCAGACCCCTACCCATCACTAGCAGTTGTAATAACACCATCAGTTGCTCCAAGCTCGGTCCTCAGTCAAGCAAGGAAATCAGAGCCACCAGGGCCACAGAGAGGAAAACAAATCCGGCACAACCACTGGCCTCACAAAGCCTTTAATAAATGACACAGGCTGGTATTCCATCAAAATAATAGCCTTCCATCAGCATAACCATCTCCCTCAGCTCCCTCAGAGGACAGGCTGCGGGAAGAAATGGTGGGTTAGAAAAAAAACGTGAAGGGCAGAAGTCTTTCTCCCAAGCGGATGCTTACAACATTTACTGTAAGGTTTTTGATCATAAATATACCCCACATTTTAGTCCCATCAACAGAAAGTTTGGGCAGGAAAGGGCCCCTGACTGAGCAGGGGACAGCGAAGTAGAGATGTACAAACAGACAGGCATCTGAATGTGTAAAAAAGAGGGAGAAAATGGGTCCTCACATTTTTCCCTTCCCCTCTCCAGTTTTCCTTTTTTCTTTTCTTTCCTCTTCTTCTTTTTTTTTTTTTTTTTAAGAGGAAGGGAAGTGGTTCTTAAATAAATGCAGAGGGTTGGGATGGAGAGTAAACATGGTGTTGAGCAGAAGCGCTAGCTTATTTTAAAGAAATAAAATAATTACCCAATGGAGAAAAAAGAAACCAACCAAGAAACAATCTAAGGTCATGACACCATGTGTGGTACAAGGAGCAATTCAACCCATAAGGGCTTCATTACCCCAGCAATAGATAACATTTGGCTAAATCGAGCTGCAGATTAAATCTCCGCGGCACAGCAGAGCCCTGAATGGAGAGGCTCCTTTTTGTGTGGTCCTTCCCCGGGATCTGCCCAAACCATTAGCCCCAATACATCCCTCTCCCTATTAACTGCAGTTCCCTCCCAACTGTGCTTCGGTCATTTGTCTCCAGACTCTACGGGGGCGTTTGATGAGCAGAGAAACGAGGAGAAGGGGAGAAAGGCGTCGGGTTAATGAGTTGTAGCAAATCCACACTTTGTAGTCAGGAGGAGGAGAGCTGGTGGCCAATGTTTGTGCAACTGGTTTATTTTTCGAGACCCGGCCTATTGAGGAAGGCTTGTTCAAGCAGACTTCATCCTTACAAACACACAAACATCCTTCTGTTTGCCTTCAAAGAAAAGGGGACCAGAGCTGAATTTGCATGCGAATGCGGGGCCCCCGAGAGGAGACGTCCTCGCCCATCAAAGGCCACGGTAGCCGGGCAGCCTTTGTTCCAGCACCTGCTCACCCCGCGTTCCGGGCTTTGCGGGATCCACGGCCCACCGCGCAATCCTTGCCCGCTCTGAGGCCCTCGCCGCTCAGCCCAGAGCCCACTCCTGTCACAGCCCACGGGTCACCCAGCCCTGGTGTCGCCTCCGTCTGCCAGCCAGGCTGGAATGGCCAGCGAAGCTGACGGCAGAACAGCACCCCGGGAGAGTGGAGCAGCTGGACTCAAAGGATCAAAAATGGAGACTGAGGCAGGCAGGTCGACTTTACTTTTTCTTACGGCTCAGGGCTTGAGATGCGGCTGCCGTCTCTCCAGCCAGCGCAGGAGGAGCCGGGACTGGAACTGCGGAACCCGGACTGGAGCGATGCTGGGTCGCCCAGCGCCTGCCTGCCATTCCCTTAAGGGTGCTGACAGCCTGGGGCGTGGGGCTCCTCCCGGCACTTTTTTAAAGATGCGGGAATCTGAACACAAAGAGATCAGCCAGGAACCCCTGCTTTCGGGACATCCAAGCCTCATGCAAATAATCACACACACGTGACCGTTCTTTCACTCCGTCTTCACCACTACTTTCAGATGGCAATGGCAGCCCTGTGCCTTGCAGGAGGCTGCGAGGTGCGCCCGCAGTGCCTGCGCACTTTGGGTTACGCCTGCTAATGCCTCTCCCCACCGGTGGCATCGGATGTCCTCGGTTCCAATGTCTCCTCTCCCTTATTTGGGCTAGAATAAAAGTAACTTTTGCATGTAACTAGAATAAAAGATTCTTGTCTAATGATACTTCAATTTGCATCTATATACTGTTAAGTTTGGGGGTGAATGTGTTTAAACTCATATAATCTCTTCCGAACATGTCTCATTTAAAACTTTTTTACTTATTAATTGTAGAGAGAGAAACACTGATTTGCTGTTTCACTTACTGATGAACTCACTGGTTGTTTCTTGGACGTGCCCTGACCAGGATCAGACCGCAGCCCTGGTGTACTGGACAATACTCTACCCAACTGAGCTGCCCAGCCAGGGAACTTCCAAACATTTCATAGGAAAAAGAAAAAGGAACTTAATTTTGAGGCTGTGAATCAGTTTTTTCCTCCCCCCAAATAAAGGAGGAGACTGGACGTCAGGACTGCATGTTACCGGGACATAATGGCCTGTATTTCGGTCTCTGTTAACTTGCTCAGTTCAGTCTGCAGATCTGCACATGTACGCCTGCCTGAGGTATTCAAAAAATTTTATTGAACTGATTTTACCTCCCCTGCAACTCACTGGTACAAAGTATTTAAATGTCTTGGTTTTATTTGCACTCACATTAGTATCTGTAGTCATCAAAACTACAGTCTCACTTTTTGCAAGGTCTACAAGTTGCCTGCAACAAGTAGTTTAGCAAAAACACATAGAATTTGAAAAAAAAGATATTCTAAATCTAAAATGTATAAATGTAATTAGTTCCATAAACATCTGATGCAGTTTCATTTTTATTACTTACTCATTTAAACTAGAATTTTGATGTTTGCCTTTTAGGATAAAAACTTTATGCAATTACTGGGATCTCTTCTCTTGAGAAAACAGTAGCTTTAAATACCAAAACTTTCCAATACAATTCATTCTGTATATGTGCACATTTTCTTATTCAGAACTTTAAAGCCATTTAACTGATGATCACACCTATTAAAAATTTACAACTAAAAATTGCCTATTTACTTGTGTTGCTTGTTACTATATAATATTACATTGCAGAGCTTTTAACAGATACTCACAATATTATGATCAAATGTCAGCAGAAATTGCTTGAAGTGTGAAGCTCAAAAAATTAAAAGTTCTATACAATTATCCTAAGGTAACTGTGGCTTTAATTTTAAATAGACTCAGTGTTCATCAAAATGGAATGGAATTAGATTTGAAAATATATATCAAAGGTACTTCTTTTATTTGTAGTCATTAAAAAGCAAACTTCTGGTCTCCTGTAATAAAGCTTTTGTTAAATTGTTTGAAAAATGTGTTTGAAAATATTTGCCTTCCTATAATGGGCTCCTTCTCTTACACAGAAGCTTTTTAAACAGAAAGAACATTAACTAAGGGGACGACTAAAGCCAATTCTTTTGGTGGATTTTCTTTCAAAATTAAGCATTTTATTTCTGAAAAAGTGTAAAAATCTTACATTAGAATAGTACAACAATTGCCAGTAAAATTTACAATACTCCTTGTAAAGAATATGCAGTAAGTACAAAATAAAAATTCCGTATGTCTATTATACAAAACACAGGTTAAAATAAGAAATAAACTTGACTTTTTTCCTTGTGTAAACACGTTAATCGTTTTTTTCCTCTTCATGAAAAAGTACACCAGACAAGTGTCTTCAAATAAAAATTACTGCTTTGCTGACATTCTTCAGGGCCTTTTTACTATTTTCGTGCTCGTCTTTTGAACACTGATTATTTTGTTTTTTTAACGCCTGGACCTGAGAATCTCTAGACCTCGAGAAGGCTTAGAAGTTTTAAGCGTTTCCCAAAGACGAGGACGTCACTGCGCCCGGACCGGGCAGCCCGCGCGGGCGCCTCTCCCTCCCCGCCCGGGGCCGGGGCCGCAGCGCGGGGCGACCCCGCGGAACCGAGCGGCCCCCAAACGCAGTCTCGTCCGAGAGTCCGCGGCGGCGAAACGGGCGGCCACGACACCCCACGCCCGGGACGGAGAAAGCGGCGGAGTCCTACCTTCCGCCTCCCGCGCGCGCGGCCGGGGCGCGCTAACCATTGGAGATCCTGGCGGTAAAGTTCTCCACACCGGGCAGGGCGGCGCCCTGGTGCAGGGTCCCCAGGGCGGCCGACGAGGACACGGAGGAGGCGGCGGCCGCCGCGGCGGCCACGAGCGAGCGAGTGAGCGCGGCCGCCGGGCCCACGGCCGCCTGGGCCGCGCAGCCGCCGGGTCCCGGCGTGGGCGCCGCCGCGGGCGAGGGCGACGGCGGGGCCTGCGCGGCGGCGGCGGCCGCGGCGCCGCGGCGGCGGCGGCGGGGCCCAGGCTGCCGCCGATGATGCTCTCGATGGAGAAGGGCGAGCGCGCCAGGGCCGCGGCGCCCGGGCCGCCCGCCTTGGCCGCGGCGGCCTGCAGAGGCCCGGGCAGGGCGGCGCCGAGCGGAGGCGGCCGGTAGCCGAAGGCGGTCCGGGCCAGCTCGGCGGCCGCGCCGTGGGGCGCGGGGGGCGGCGGGGGCGAGTGCGGGTGGAAGGCGGCGGCCGCGGCGGCCGCGGCGGCAAAGAGCGCGGAGGGCGGCGCGTAGGGCGGCAGCTGCAGGCCGTAGCTGCAGGCGTAGGGCCCGTAGCCGTAGGCGGGGCGGCGGCGGCGGCGGCGCGGGCGGGAAGAGCGCGGCGGCGGCCGCCGGGTCCCCCGCGGTCCCCGCGCCGCGGAGCAGCAGCGACTCGGCGGCCGCGGCGTTGGGCGGGAGCAGCGGCTGCCGCTTGAAGCGCTTCCTCCGGCGCAGGAAGCTGCCGTTGTCGAACATGTCGGCGGACTCGGGGTCGAGCGTCCAGTAGTTGCCTTTGCCGGGGTTGCCGGGCTCGCGGGGGATCTTGACGAAGCAGTCGTTGAGCGAGAGGTTGTGGCGGATGCTGTTCTGCCAGGCGGGGAACTTCTCCCGGTAGTAGGGGAAGCGGCCGCTGATGAACTCGCAGATCTCGCTCAGCGTCAGCCGCTTCTTGGGGCTCTGCAGGATGGCCATGGTGATGAGCGCGATGTACGAGTAGGGCGGCTTCACCAGCGGGTTCTTGGCGCCGCCGCCCGCGCTCGCGCTCCCGCCCGCGCTCCCGCCCCCGCCGGCCCCGGCCCCCGCCGCCGGGGCTGGGCCGGGGGGCGCCGGGGAGCCCCCAGTCTGCGGGGCCAGCAGGATGTCGTCGTCGTCGTCCTCCTCCTCCTCCAGGTCCTCTAGTTCGTCCTCGCCGGCGTACGAGCGCCGCCGCCGCCGCCGCTGCGCGGGGACATCCAGCCGGGGCCCGCCACCGCCGCCCTCGTCGTCCTCCTCTTCCTCATCGTCTTCGTCCTCGCCCTCCCCCACCACGTCGATATCAGTCTCCTCGGCAAGGCCGGAGGCATCGGACATCTCCGTGCTCAGGGTCATAGCTGTCCCGCTGCAAGGGTGAGGCGGCGCATAGGGGCGCCGGACTCTGGGCTCCCTCCGCGCCCCAGCCCGGGTCCCGGGCGGAGGGCCCGGCCCCGGGGCGCCACGCTGGGGGCGCGGCCGCTGCTCAGGCTGAGCTCCGGGGCTGCCCGGCGGCGGCCCAGGCTTTGCACTGCGAGTTTGTAACTCCTGCACCGCCGCCGCTCCCCCGGCTCCACGGGCACCCGGCGGGGTGGAGGACTTGACCTTCCCCTCTCCGAGAGCCGTGGCCCGGGTCAGGTGAAGAGGGGGTGACAGGGCCCTGGGTGAGCAAGTCTGCCCGTTGGAGCGCTGGGGAGGGTGCGGGACGGGTGAGAGCCCAGGGACAGAGCCCGGCAGGCGAGGGGCTGAGACCAGGAGAGGGCGGACCTTCACGCAGCTTATAGCAGAAGGAGGCCTGTCACATGGTGCGCACGTCAGAGCGCTGCCAAGGGACTGGAAAGCAAGCATAGGAAATCAGCCTTGCTCTGGAGAAAAAGTTCACCCGTAGGGGGGAGCAGGAACTGAGAAGAGACAACAGGAGAGAGGACCCCACCATTCCTCGCCAAAAGGGCTGAGACCTGAATTGCGCACTGGCCCGCGGTGGTGGGTCCAAGGCACAAGTTAGAGTTCCAGCCTCTTTCTCTGCTATTGGCCTTCAACCCTAACTTCAGAAGCAGCCCCTTGATGCGGTGGATTGACCACTCCAAGGCCTGTAGGAGCCGTCCAGGGGCAAAACGACACCCCATCGTCTGAGGTGGTCCCTGGGGAATGGCTAGGAGGTCTGTGGGACTGTCCCATCTCCTTGTCCCATCGGTCAACTGGCTCGCCATCGAATCTGATGAGAATCCCCACTCTACCCCCCCCCGCCCCCTGTTTAAGCACAATAATTGTTTATTGACCTTTTAACCTGTCTCTTTTGGTTCTTCCCCAAAGACGTTTGTTTTCTACCATCTGTTAATAAAAACGCCGTTATGCTGGCGTTTTAGTCACTTATCTGCAATTGAATGCCCTAGAAACTTGACGAGTAAACTAAGCCACTCTAATGAGAGGATCTGAAAATTTTTATGAGTATAAAGAAAGCAACTGTTGAATGTAGAGAAAAAATAGAAACACTTAGTGAAAATATACCCCCCAAAAATTGCACCTAGAAACGACTCCGAAAAGTTAATTTTTTCATAATGGGCTAAGGTACTCTGTAGTTACCAGTGAGGGGAACTACAGTTCCTTCACTGTTAGTTAACACTTCATGGTCATCTGCAAGCACTTGAATTGCTATAGTGTATGCACACATTTGCACTCAGGCGGGCTTACTAATAGAAACTACAATGATAAATAAAAATTTTCAGATCCTTAAATATTTTTCTTTTTTAGTCCTGACAAATGTGGCTCAGTTGGCTGGGCATCCTCTAGCAAAGCCCAAGGTTGCGCGGGCGGATTGATTCCGGGTCAGGACACTTGCCAGGGTTGTGGGGTCCGCCCCCACGCAGCCGGTCACGTTTCTCTCCCTCTCTTGCTTCCTCCTTCTCCTTTCTTTTAAAAATAAGTAAATAAAGTCTTAAAAAAATAAATGTTTTCTTGAATATTCACTGAATATTTCCAATAGCTATTGGTGAAAAGAAACAAAGGTGTTTTTTTAAAAAATAAGATCAAAGCCCTGGCTGGTTGTAGCTCAGTGGATTGAGCACAGGCCTGCGAACCAGAGGATAATGGTTCGATTCCCAGTCAGGGCATATTCCTGGGTTGCAGACTGGTTCCCTACAGGCCAGTTCCCAGCAGGGGATGCATGAAAGGCAACCATACATTGATGTTTCTCTCCCTCTCTCCTTCCCCTCTAAAGATAAATAAATAAATAAAATCTTTTAAAAAATAAGATTCAAGTTTTGGTCAACTCAATTTTTCTTTTCAGGTGACAGACAAGTAAGTGGAAATAATTCAAATATGATTCTAAGTATACTTAGGTTTGTCACAAACTAATTATTTTGGCTAGTAAAAAGTCCTAATAGCTGTGGAATTCATACTTACATAGCCATACCTATCAGATTTTGGCATTTCCTAAAACACTTCTACTTCAAAGGGAGGGATACTTGCCTAAAATTGTAGCTCGCTCATTAAAAATGACCACTTGATGAGAACTGAGAATCAAAACTCAATGGCTTTCTGTGGGAACATTCATCAGCTGCCTTTGTGTATGCCGTTTTATGGACCAAGTACTTTTCACATTTTGAAACGTTTCATTATTCCCCTTATCAATCACAGAGCCTCAAAAATAAACTATTCCCCTATTTAAGACTTGTTTTAAAAATCGAGTTTTTGTTGCTGAGAACGGCTACCAACCAGTTACACTTACAAATGACCCATAAAGTTCATCATAGATTTGAAAGATCTATGAGAATGTCTCAAAGTTCTAAATAAATTATTTTTCATTTACTCTCGTTTGATATATGGCTGAACCATTTAATTGTTGTAATTGGTTCAGGATTAACCTGAGCCAACATTAATCAGCACTATTAATCAGGCATTTCATTGCTTTGTTGATGTAGCCAGCAGTCCTTACCAACGAGTCCACTTTTACTTTTGAAAGTTTAAGTTTTGTAAGTCCTGCTCGATCGATATCTAAATAAACACCGTGGTTTTCGCTGGACTCGGGACTGGTGTGCGGCGAAGCATTTAACGATGAAACGGAGGGAGAATGTGTTCGCTGACCAGTAGTTACATCAGATGATCAGTCACAGCCCTGCTTCCCTGGTTGCCACCGCCCTGGACTTGTCTGGCGGAGAAGGGCACGCTGATGGCCCTGGCGTTCCGTTTGTAACTGTCTGAAGGTCCCTCCCCAAAGGGTTAAAGGGCTATTCCCTGAAAAAAAAAAAAAATGTTTCTTTAAACGTGGCGAATTATCTTCTCCCCATTCAGGAGAAAGTGTTAGGATTTAAGGAAGGTCAGAGCAGCAGATCAAGCCAGGAGAACCGCTGCAGGGACAGCGTTAACAGAGATTTGGGTGAGCTTTGCTAAAGCCCCCCATTTGGTCCGCCACGTGCTTTGTTTGTTTTAGTTAAACCTGCACATTTGCATGTGATTTCCAGCTCTGCGCTCGTAAAATTTCCCGAGTGCGGAAACCCAAGCATTTCATGTCCCCAGCGTCCTCCTCTAGTCCCCTTCACCCCCGCACCACACCACTATCCCTCCCTAAAGTGCGCCCAGGTCTCTGCAGAGTCTGGGAACGCCGCCCCGGCCCCTCAGGCTGGCACAAGGGACCAGACACCTTTCCTCCTGGCGGCAAGGACGAACCGCTCGGGAATTGCTGCGGCGCCTGCCGGGCGGATGTAGACCACGTGGGGGAGGGCTGCCCCCTGGCGGTGGCACGGCGCCCTGCTAGCCCCGGCGCTGGCAGGAGTCCGGGACTCGCGAGCAGCTGGCGTTTTGCTTCATTCCCACCTAGCTTTGGGGTGCCGGGACTTTTTTTTCTTCTTTCCTTGAGGGCCTCACCTCCCCTTCTCTGCGGAGACTGGGCAGGCACTGAGGCATTTCTTGGACTCCTGGTTGCAATTGGCTTGGGCGTCACAGGAGAGAGGGAGGCATCCTGCTCAGCCCGTTGTCCTCCATCAAGAGCTCAGGAAGGTCCAGGGACCTCCTAAGAAGGGTGAAGGCTGGCAGAGACGTGGGGCGTAAATCTGGATGACTCGTGCGGAGGACACCTGGATGACTCTTCTCTGGGCTCCTAAGCACAACCTAGGAGTTTACTCATGAACTTGAACCTGAACGTGTTCCCAAAGGACAAATACTTTCTTTGGGCCACATCCCTCCTCAAAGAGTCATTCCACAAGCCTGAATTAAGATGCTTTGTGGGTGGCACTCAGTTCTGGAAAGAGGAAGAAGAAGACAGGAGTCCCTGGTGAGGGTACTCACAGTCTCATGCAGGAGCTAGGTAAATAGGTACTTATTATTCCCATTACGTGCTTTCTTCGTGCCCCAGCTGCGAGGGAGCGGTGCTTCAGCATCCCTGCCAGCTGTCTGCTCCAGTCTGTAACCCTGCGCTGACCTCCATTGTGGGTGCTCCTTCTCTTTTTAAACTCAAATGTCGGAAGGCTAAAAAGGGCTCCTGGGTTTTTTTGTTTGTGGTCCTTTGGTTTTAGTGTGTGCTAAAATACACAAAGCATAAAATTTACCTGTTTTAGTGTACAGTCCGGAGTCATTAAGTACACTCACAGTGGTGCACTGTTTCCATCACTGCAAACTGAAGCTCTATACCCATTAAAGAATAACTCCCATTCCTCCCACTCCACTCCCCCCCCCCCAGCTCCTTGGTGACCGTGACTCTGCTTCCCCTCCTATGGCTTTGGCGATTCTAGCCACCCCATATAAGCAGAATCACACAATATTTGTCCTTTATGTCTGGCTTGTTTCACTTAACATGTCTTCAATGTTCATCCCCGTCACATGTGGCAGAATTTCATTCCTTTTGCAGACTGAGAACTATTCCATTGTACGTATGTAGCACATTTTGCTGCTCTATTCATCCATTGATGGACATTTGTGTTGTGTCCTCTTTTGTTTGTCTTTGAACCTCCACTCACCTAGCTCTTTGTAACACTTTGCATGCAATAGGCACTCAATAAAGATTTATTTGTTCACTTTCCTATGCCTTTTCACCTCAGAAATCCTCAAAGGAATTCCATTGTCCCGATGTCAGCGAAGTCACAGTAATGGTTTCTGTCATGCCCTTCTGAACTTGTAACTTCAGTTTGCTTATAATTCTGAGACTTTTGAACTCATATTTTGTCCATTCTGTTCAGTGAAGGTAGGAGTTAGGACTCCACCAAAATTTGTTTCAGAAAAAAATTGTGATCATTGCCCCCACACACATTCTTTTCACATCCTTTTTAAGCTTTGTCAGCTGTCTTAATTCTTTGGGTCCCGAGAAGGCCTCCGAAGTTTTCTCTGGGCCCTAACTGGGTAGCTCCGTTGATTGGAGCACCATCCCATACACCAAAAGGTTGCAGGTTCAATTCTGGTCAGGCCGAATGCCTACATTGCTAGGTGTGTCCAGGGGAGGCAATTGATTGATGTTTCTTTCTCATATTAATGTTTCTCTCTCTCTCTCTCATTCAAGTCAATAATAAAATATCCTCAGGTAAAAAAATGTCTAAGTTTTTTTAAGAAAATATTTTCTTTAAAAAAAGATTTTATTTACTTATTTTCAGAGACAGGGAAAGGGAGGGAGAAGGAGAAGGAGAGAAACATCGATGAGCCAAAGGAATGTCAGTTGGTTGCCTCTCACATGCCCCCAGCTGGGGACCTGGCCTGCAACCCAGGCCCTGGGAGTGTCCTCACTGGGAATCAGCCAGCAGCCTTTTCACCGGCAGGCCAGCAC